ACGAGGCTTGATCTGGCGGAAGGCAGACCCGCATGTCGGCGAATCCGGGCCTGGGAAAACCACCAGCTGCTTTAGTTGTGCTGTCTGGGTCGATCTAGGTTGGCGAGGGTTTCGCGAAACAGAAGTGCCGCGGTTTCGAGCTCTGCATCAACAAGCAAAGAACAACTTTGGCCATCACAACTTTGGCCATCATCTCAGCTACGGAATGTTGGACCTTTCATTCACGGTCCAGCGTTAGCTTGCCTTCGCTCCTGCAGTGCTTTTGGACCTGCAGCTTCGGGCTGAAGCTTCACAGACTCTACACCCTGAAGATCCGATGCTCTCTTGCAATGTTTCGGTGGCAGGGGGGGCATCTATGGTGGTAATGGTAGTTGCTTGCGTTTCTCAATGTTCGCATCAGACCGCCATCATGTCTGGTTTTGGCACCGAGCGAGAAACCTACCCCGGGACATTCTGGACTTGTAAGGCTTTGGCCTGTGGACCTTGCAAACCTGCAGTAATAATGCCTCTCCTTTACTGTAACTTGTCATGCTGGTGTCAGTTTGGGGTTTCACAGGTTGTCATTTATGTCGTTCTTGTTGTCAAAGGATCTACAAAGGTCAATCCAGACCAGCAAACCTGGGAACAAAACGATATGTGCACATGACCAAAAAATGACGAAAAGCAACTCGCTCTCACAACTATAGAGTACAAAGTCCCAATGCTTATGACGTTTAAGTTCGAGCCGGCCGCAGGTGCTTGAAATTCGCATTGATGTCCGTGTGGACAGCCTGTGTTCACAACCGACATGCCGTACAACTCCAGAGCTCAACGCAAGAAGCACAGTCAATCGAAAATGTAGAGCTGTCTCTATGGTAAACAATGCAGGGACCCGATCTCGTCCTACCACTGCTGGAATTGACTTCTCCAGCCTACCTACGTACCCACCTGCGTATACATGCCTATCGTGGATACCCGCATGTGTACACGTGCGTGTCTATATATACATATGTATATATATATATATATATATTTATAGATGTATGTACGTATATATAAATATGCGTATATATATATATACATCTGTATATATACACACACATAGAGTATAGGGGTCAACAACAATGAGGTCTGTACAGCAACCCGCATATTCGACCCAAGATACATATCGGACATAATTATCGCATACATGCAGCGTGCAAGAAAGGCGGAGCCAAAGCTACAAAAGTTGATGCACAGCACTGCGTGGCTTGGGATTTCAGAGCTTCAGGCCTTTCAGGCTTCAGCGTCTAAGGTTGCAGAGCTTGGAGTTGAAACTTCAGAATTCTGAGAGGCTTACGAGCCCTAGCGCCCGAGCCTCGAAGTAGACGCACAGCCTGGCCACCGGCTAGGCAATGTGTCATCGCGGTCATGCTCGTAGTAGTGTGAGAGTTTTGTGGTAGCAGTAACAGCAGCAGTAGCAGTAGCAGTAGCAGTAGCAGTAGCAGTAGCAGTAGCAGTAGCAGTAGCAGTAGCACTAGCACTAGCAGTAGCAGTAGCAGTAGCAGTAGCAGTAGCAGTAGCAGTAGCAGTAGCAGTAGTAGTAGTAGTAGTAGTAGTAGTAGTAGTAGTAGTAGTAGTAGTAGTACTAGTACTAGTACTAGTACTAGTACTAGTACTAGTAAGCAGCAGCAGCAATCGTTTTCGCAATCAGTAGCTGTAGACGCAGCACATGCAGCGGTAGAATGCAGGACGAAGCTCGACGGAGCAACGGCAGAAAAATAAAACCGACGATATAAGGCTGAAGGATTTTACGCGTGACGGTCAGTGATTGAAAAGTCAACACCAAGTGAAACAGTGCAGGGAGGATTTATGAAGCAAGTGATCACCCGATCTCATTCAATAATGACATAATGCCAATCACAACACCACATCAATGTACAACCTTACGAAAAAGCGCTGTAGACCTCGCTGGCAGATGGCTGGAACTTGGATAGGAGAGCTTGAGGGAATAGACGGTTTAGGGTTACAGGGGTCTTGAACATCGGCGTGGGGAACTTGACGGCGCTGGAAACTGCACATGCCTACACGTGCAAGATCTCTACACAAGATCCTTAGCCTGCACTGAAATCCTTCATTGCTCACATTTCGCCAGAAACAAACTTTGAAGCAATACAGTCCATCTGCCTCCGTCTTGCTTATTGACGTAACCAACATCCAGGCAGGTCAGGCCTTGTCAAAACCAAACTAGAAAGCAACGAAAACCACAGACCTTCTCCCCGTCGTAGACTGGAAAATCCGAGAGCGGTACCCTGGCTCCAGTGTGGCAAGGCGTGCCAGGTACGGACGCAAAGCCTTTGCGGGACGATGGCTGTTAAAACCAGCTTTCGCTCGAATAATATAGGGGCCTTAATAATTAGAATAGGGTTTTGGGGCCCACTATACTACAATTATATAGTATTGGTAAAAATTTAAGCCCTTATAGTATTGCTAACAGTTGCAATGGCCATGATGCCAGCTGGCGTGCTGATGTTGACAGGGTTGTTGAAGGTGATGGCGATCATGAAGAAGATGAACATGAGGGCCCACCGAGTCTACCACCACTGCTAGGCAACACTGGTTCTGTCATGCTGCAGGTGCGCCACTGCCGCCACACGACGCCTGCTCCTGTTCCTGCTCCTACCCGAGGCCGGTTCCTGCTACGGCTACTGCTCCTGCTGCAGCTACTGCTACTCCTACTACTCCTACTCCTGCTCCTACTACTACTCCTACTACTACTCCTACTACTACTGCTACTACTACTGCTAGTGCTACTGCTAGTGTTAGTGCCAGTGCTACTGCTAATGCTAATGCTGCTACTGCTACGATGCCGACGACGACAACGACTTTTGCCACTACTTCCGCTATTCTTAACAACTACAATTAAAGAAAGCTGGAGCCGTAAATTCCGGCTGCCCTTCGGCGTCAAACCACCAGAACCCCTGGAGACCTCAACCCCAAGTTTGAAGACGCCTCTCCAAAACCCAGGCATTCCCAGACCCCCAAAAGGATCCAAAAAGCAGATCCCAACATGGGGGCTCCTATAAAGTACCCTTAGTAGCATAAGGCCCCAAATTGGGGATCTACTTTCTAGATCCTCCCGGCAGTCTGCGTTGACAGCTCAAGGGGTGCCTCCAAGATCCTGGGGTCACTGTCGGCGAAGTCCAGGCCCTTCCAGTCCTCTGCCGGCCCCTGGCTCGTGGATGACGTAACCCTCATATGGGTAGTTGTCATCCCTTTTTGGGGTACCAGTAAGGACGCAAAAAGGGATCCTAATTTTGGCAACTACCCATATACCGGCCTTAACATGTAATTAGAATAGGGTTTCGGGGCTCTTATATTATATTTCGAATAAGGAACCCCCAAAATAGCATAGGTAATTATCTAGGCCCCTATATATTATACAAACCCTGTCTTTCCGTGGTAGGGTCGGCCCTGGGAAAATCTACCGCGCCTTGTCGGGTCTGAGCTCGGGTCCGCAAGGCTTGCAGTAGGTTATGTTCTAACTTCCAGATCATCTATCGCATCTTCTCATATTCTACCATTAAAACTTTTATGTCAATGTTATGTTATGTTATAGCGCATTATGCTAGAATGCTTGGGCCCTAGGCTTCACAGGGCGAAGGGCAGTTGAAGAGTCAATCTGGCCTTTCAGGGCCGGCCAAGATTTGAAGCTCAGCGCCACAAGGGTTTCCCGAAACCCTTCTTTTTCATACTGGATCCTTTCCTAACACTCGCCGTGCATCGATTTGGGAGAAGGAACCTCTTGGATGCTGTTTAGGGTCTACACAAAGGTCTCCCACCCCGGCGCCAACCACGGCAACAGATCCCGAAACACTGCGGACAGAGAAAGCAAACAAGCTTTGACCCCATGACTTACCTTTGGTTAGTAGGGAATGGAAGAATGGTAGAAATAGTAGTTATAATTGTACCCCATTCCTCCATTCCCTACTAACCAAAGGTAAGATGATGCCGAGCACCTGCTCACGCCAGGCTAGCAGCCGCAGGCCGTAGCCTCCCGCTCCCCCCAGGCCAAAGCTATCTCGGGCCTTGAGCCTACAAGTACAAATTACTTGGGGTCTCTACTCCTGCATAAAGCGTCTCATGTTGTGTACCGAATGAAATTTAAGGCTTGGCTCATCCTCTTTTTCCATTCTATCTGAAACCTGACAGGCTTGTAGTCTCAAACCAAAGCGAAGCACAGCTTAGCACGTCAAAACCGAAACCCAACCCCGATAGCATTGAAATTCGAAACATTGCCGCTGCATGACATGTGCTAAACCCCCTGCAAATCCCAGGTCCATGGCTTGTCCGTTTGTTTGGTGTGGTTATGCAGTGGTCCAGATCTTTACTTCTGGACGTGCCTGACATAGTATGACCTTACCAATACTGACAATAATCATACAACACATGACATGCATGATGCTTACGGACTACCTCAATCTTAAGACTTGAAGCAGCGGCACTTGAAGACCCTAGGAGTTGAAACTCCACTTGACCCGTCCCAGCGGCGCTGCGTGGCATCTGCACCATCTTTTCTTTTCCTGGGACATAAAAGTGGAGGGAGGGTTCAAGGGCTTCGGAGGGAGATTGAGGACCAGAGTGAAGCTTGATGTCCAAGTAGGTTAGCTGGTTGACGGGCATTGTCTGAAGGTGTGGGGTTCTGGCTTTGGTTGGGACTGCTCTTCACCCTTGGTGCAAGTCTTGGCGGAGGGTTGTCAGGCATTCTTTGCTGCACAGGCCTTCCAGCGAGCCTTCAGAGCTGCTTCCAATGCCTTTTCTACACACCCTGACTCTGAAGATTCTGCCACATCTCAGTCGAGGCACCCAGCTACAACACTGTAGGATGCATCTCGACATACTTTCCAATCTGGGGATTTGGGCCCTGCGCCTGCGATTGGAAACTGCACAACATTTACAACGCGTTGAACCATGAAGCTACCAAGCCATAGCAGAAAAAAACACTTCGCACACTGCAAGGCCAAGGCGGCTCAGATGTCATTCTAGGGCAGCGGCCCCCACAAGTCCAAGCGCTTGAAGATGTGGGTGGAGGTCGCCTGCGAGAGTGAAGCGAGCCACTTCCCGATCACTGTGACCGCAGACTCGCTGCTTCATCACAGCACCCCTCGCGAAATGCGTGACTGCCATGATTATGGCTTCTCTCGTACAAGTATCTATTTTGTTCGTGCATTCCACAAAAGCCGTGCGCTCGCTGGGCTTTCGCAGCTAGCAGCATCTCAGCACAGAGCCTCATCACTTGAGCCGGTGGACTCTGACTCTGACTCGTCAACTGCATGCCTGCTCAGCGCCATGTGGAGCGAGTGCTTGTCTTCATGGATGCTGCCTTCCAGCTGCCTGGCGACGGTGATGAAAGTATCCACGGCCCCGTGCATCAGCTTCAAGGCGGCGGCCGCGCGGAGGCCTCCGAGCGACTTGGACTCCCCGACCAAACCACCGTTCCGTTGCCTCGCGGAGGCCGCGGCGACGAAGAGCCGCTCGAGGCGCTGCTCCAGGGCCTCAAGCTCTTTGTGAGGCCAGGCGTTCTCGCTCTTGGTCTCTGTCGTGCAGCAGTTCGCCGAGGACGCCGTGAGGCGTGCCGTGAGGCGCTCCACCGCCTGGTCCAGCAGGGCGGTAAAGTCTGAAGCTTCCGGGCCCAGGGCGGAGAGCAGCCGCTCGTCCTCCAGGGGGCGCTGCGCGCCCTCCTCCAAGCCCGGCTCCAGAACGTGGCAAAGCACGTTAGTGACCCGCACGAGCCGGCTCACGGCGATGACGGCGTTGATGCATCGCCGGCCTGGCACGGAGGGTGCCCATCCAGGAATCCAAAGGATGCGGCCGAGCACCAGAAACCCGGCATCCACACCCCAACGGCTCTCCCAAAGCACCTCTTCGAGCAAGTCCCCCTTTCCTGGGTGCCCGTCTCCCGCGAACTGGAGCTCCTCCACCGACTTCCAGGTGTCCGTCTTCAGTTGCTCCCATTTCCCGGCCATCTCCATCCTGGCAGCTTTGGCCCAGAGGACTCTGCCGGCTTCCTTCATCGCTGCGGCTGCAGTTCCGATGGCTGTAGCTTCGCGCACGCGGAGCTGATCCACAGCCCTGTCGGGTGCAATGAAGACGTTTGCCACCATGGCCAACATCACGCCGGCAGCGACATCCACACAGCGCCGCAGGGCAATGGACTCTGCGGCCGGCATCACCGGGGCTCCCTCCTCCGCCGTCTTTTCGGAGTCGATCAGGGTTAGAAGCACGACCAGGTAGGTGACGAACGTGATGGCGCCAGCAAACTGCAGCTCGGGCTCGTAGAACTTCATCACCAGCGCCAGCAAGCAGATGTGAGGCGTGAGCTCCGGGAAGAAGGGCCAAGACCCCACAGCGGCCACAGAGGCCAAGGCGAGCAACGAACCCACAGCTGTACCTGCCAGGCGACGGAGCCCCCGCAGCAAAGAAGCTCCTTCGCGAGACTTTTTTTGCATCCGGAACTATATGGTCCCCATATAACGCATACTCGAAAGTCGAAAATGTAAGATCCTCACGCAACCCCATGCTAATCAGTAGTGTTGAGGTATGATGAACAACTTACCTCTGCCTGCTTTTCTTTTGGACTTGTCGCAAACAGCCAAACGTTCTCGTCGCCAACCGGGACCCGCGGACCACATGAAAACCAAACAGAAGGACCGAAGAACGATGACGAACTGCCAACACCCCGTCTCGATGTGGAGAGGTCTTTGGGGATATAAGTTATAAGGTTACCAACACTGTAGAGGGCGTCGGGTAAGATCACCATGGCCTACCTTAGCCTGGCAGTATGCGGCCTGAGGCTACGTTAACGCGGAACTCCAGAACGATACATGTCGGGAATCCTTCCATTGGCATGATGCCCATTGCCACAGTCAGCAAAGTCCAAAGCCCGTTGTCATTCTCCGAGAAGCGCCGCAGCACGTAGATCACAAAAAAGCCCGTGAGCATCACCGCGATGCCCAGGCGCAGTGCGTGCGACCGGCCCTTTGCAAGGCCTTTCTTCCAAGCTTCGCGTCCAGCACAGGGCACTCTTAGCCAGCTTCGAGCTCCCGTAAAGCTCGGCCCAACCAAAGCGCAAAGCCGGCAAGGACCGCGGGCCTCCGGCTCGGATACGCGCGCTGCGATGAGCTCCGTGGCTGCGGCCGCAGCTTCTGCAGCAGCCTTGACGCCCAGAACGCAGCAGCTGTGTCGACAAGCCTCGTCAAAGCCGGCCACACGCGCTGCCTGCACGGAATCTTGAGTGTCCAAGTGATGGGCCCCTTTCAGATACAAATCGACGAGGCCCATAAAGGAGATGCCATCAGGGCCGTCAGGGTCGTCGTCCACAGGAAGTTGTTGACGGAGAGTCTCCTCGGCATGAGTTCTCCACAAAGGGTCGTGCGCGGCCTCAAGCTGACTGTCCATGTAGCGCTGCAAACTCTTGCGACACTGCTCCGCCAGCTCCCTACAGTCGTCCTTCGTCGCCAAGTCGGCCCCCATCCATGACGCTGAAGTCAGGAAGGCCTCGTCGGCCTTGCCTGAGAGAGCACTGATCGTCGCCGCTGCTGCTCGGAGTGCATGAGCAGAGGAGAAGCACACATCGCGCAGTCGCTCCCCCATAACTCCCCGGTAAAACGTATCCAAGGTAAGATTGCTGAAGCCAGCGCAAAGCATGCTCGATTTCATCTGCAAGGCTAAGCGGCAGCGCTCCGCAAGCTTCAGCAGCACCTTCGAAGGGTCCTCCGCCTCGCTGCCACGGTTCTCATCTTTCTCCAAGATCCGAAGCTCCGTCGCCTCGAAGCTCGCGAACTTCATCGCGGCGCTGAGCTGCTCTCCGGAGCTCAGCAGCTTCAGGCGGCACTGGCGATGACGCTGCAGCGCGGCCTTCGTCGGCAGCTGAAAGATGGCGGTGGCCTCAGGGGCTCAGGCTGGGGGTTCTCCGTCGTGCCAATGCAAAGCAGATAAGGGAAACCTGACACCTCACACCTGTTTGCTGTGGCGCGCCCTGCGGCCACGGGTTCTGCTAGCTGTCATCTTGGTTTCCAGCTCGGGTTGTGGAGAAAAGGATGAGTATCAGTTCTTTGTGGCTGCTACATCGCATACTCGGCCTCAAACGTCTCTGCCAAAGCCGCCAGCTTGGCTGCGGTCAAGCAGGGCACCTGCTCGTGCGCAGGCGTCGCCCCTAGTCCGCAAGGCAGGTAGCTAACTGCCAGCCCGCTTAACGTTCCGACCAAGATCGACAGGCACATGCTTGTGCCGAGCACGAGCATCTCCTGATGTGATGTTGGGCTCAACGCTATGACGGGCATCAGCAGTGCCAGCACAACCGCCGCTGCATTCCCAGCTAAAAGTGGCTTCGGCGCCTGCACCTCAGCAGCCACTGCTGCCCAGATCACAACAAGGCTCGCTGTGCCGCCCATGCATATGCACACCAGCCACGGCCGCCACTGCATGCCACCCACAAGGAAGCACAGGTAACAAGTCGCGACGCCAGTGGGAAATAGGAGGATGGTCGACATCACCCAGGTGAGGCCAGCAGCACAGCTTTCTCCACGTCGGGCCGCCGGCGAGAGGAAGGCCAAGATCACGGCCAGCCCCGTCGTCGTCATCTGCGGAATTCCCAGCGGCCGGATAACTAGCCATCCAGCAAACGCCACCAACAGCACCGCGACAGCGGTGCGGAAGGCCAGCGCGGCCCTCTCTCGGCTCGACAGCATGGCTCTTCAGCGGCCAAAGCGAGATGTCGAGTTTGCAAATTAGAGCACAATCTGATTGTGAATGATTCCCATCTAGCCTGTATATAGGACCGAAATGCTCTATTGCCTCAGGCTGCCCAAGCTCCCGCCATCGTCTTCTTTCTTCCTTCAGTATGATCCACCTAAAGGGGCATGGAGCAGGTATAGCAAGCAGAGACTCCGAACTCATGCTGTCGATCCAAGCCTTCAGCTGGACGAGGCACTCTAGGGCCCTGGGGCACTTGCTTCTACAACCAACCCAGGCCCAAGCTCTGCAAACCACAACCGAGCCTCAAACCCTGAGAAACACCCTCTGGAAGGCAAAGAATCTTGCACCATGAGACTCTGCTCTCGACACTGACCTGCATCGTGGTCCCGTCCCACTTCTCGGTGACATAGACGGCAGGGAAGGGCTCTGGGCCTCTTGGAATACTTTAGGATAGCAGGGCCCCGGAGACTTGCTCAGGGCTTTGGTTTAGGGCTGCAGGGCTTTGAACCAAGGAGTATGGGCATGGGGTTGTTTCGGCTGAAGGGGTCGGGGTTAAGACTTAGGCGTGACTTAGGGTTCGGCACTTACGGTTGAGCGCTTGGGGTTTGAGGTTTAAGTTCGGGGTGTACAGGACTTGGAGTGTTGGCCAGGAAGACATTAGCAGGGTTGTGCAGATGATGGCTACACCATCTTACACCTTAGATTCGAGACCCTTGCCACCACTCGACCCCAACCCTCACCCAAGAAATCTCCCAGGCTTCCGTCCGACAATTGAATACTCCTCCTCTAGCTGCACAGATCTTCGAGTTAAAGAGACGACGGCAAGTCTCCAAGATCACGATCAGGAATTGAAAAGTTTGCAGTTGCGTCTGAGTTGTCCAACATGGGAGGGAGTGGCTTCTCAGCATGAAGGGTCGAATGTTACTGAGAAAACAGGATCCGAATAGTCCCGGTCCTAAACTCCTAAACACACAGACAGATGTATGGGCCTGGCCTTTGCCAAAGCCACAGTCTTTGGTGTTCAGCCGCGGCGGAGGCCTCATGGCTGGGGATTTAGGATGCCTGTGCGGCCGTGGTTGTAGGGCACATTGTAGGGTCCAGTATGTTCGTTTCGTTTCGGGGCGAGGCCCGTCTTCAACGCGCAAGGGGGCGCGGGGAGGACTCCAATCCTGGTGGCACCTTCAAGAGAGCTTTGGGCCAGAACAGCAACTCTCAAGGGGCAGCTCGGCCTCATACTGCACCTTCAAGCACAAAAAGACCCCAAGGCCAAGTGGCGTTCAATCATCGAGCAAGCTGTGCGACCGTCCAACTACACCCGTCTCGCAAGTCAAATCTGACAAAGTCTCGTGCATTAATTCAATGTCCCGACTTGTTCTCCTCAACAACGTGTGTCTGTACTTCAGAAGTGAAGCTTTCGGATGCTTAAGCATTTCCAGCCTCTCATAGACAGTTTTGCACGGAATACATGTTTCTGTCCCTAAGTTGTGGCTCAACCTGTGGTCCTGAGGTAGAACATTAAGGGGGAGCAAAACATAGCAGACAAAGGCTGCGCAGACAAAAACAAGCCGTACACAGAAAAACCCAGGAGTGCAGACGCGCATGCCAAGACGTGTGGCAATGCGGAGACTGAGTCGCAGAGCTCCTCCCTTCAGCCTCAAGCGCCTCGCCCTTGACACTCGCCTGAGCACGTGGCTCGTAGCGAAATGTCGGGCCACTTCCTGGTCGGTGAATCCGGTCGAAATAAGACAGAAGCCTAAGCCTGGTCCCGAATGTTGCCCTAAATCACCCGCACCCACAATCTCAACAATCCCGACGCTTAAGTTGTGGAATTAGCCACCTTCTGAACGGCGGGGAAATCTGAGGCCTCATGCGGATGCTTCATGAGGGAAGCCTAGGGTTCAGGAAGTTTAGGATATTTAGGGATGCAGCATGGATTGAGCGTGCGGTCTTCAGGCCAAAACCTAAGACACTGCCGAGTCCGGCGAGAGTTTGATCAAAGGGTCCCGGGCTTCAGGATTTGCGGTTTAGAACCCAAAACCCCTAAACCCTAAACCCCTAAACCCTAAACCCTAAACCCACCAAAAAAAGGACCCAGGGCCTTTCTTCCCGGGAGCTGTGCCTGTGTGCTGGAACAGGTGGAAGATCTTCCTGTGGCTGAGGGCAGGGTTGAATATAGGGGCCTTAATAAGCAGAATAAAGCTTGGGGTGTATATTAAGACTATAACTTTTACCATATTAAAGAACCCCCAAGTAGTCCTATAGGTAATCAATAAGGCCGCTATGGTAGAGGGCACATTCCAGCACATTCTGGATTGTCTCAGCAGGGCTTGGGCTCCATCAGCTCCTTCACGTCCTGCCCATCATCTTCGTTTCTTGCATCCTCTTCGCATCCCGCCTCCTGCATGGCTCATCATGGACGTCTTTGCTGAATCGTTTCGCTGGTGGTGGTCGTCCTCGCCCTCCTCCCTCTCATCATCATCGCCGTCGTCATCAGCACTGGAGCCTTGCATCCTCCTCCCATCCTCCCTGCCATCTTTCATCATCAGCAGCATGCAGAACTGCCGCAAATTGCCATGACTGTGATCTTGACGGAGACTGTGCCTTTGCACCAAAGGGCTAGGAGCGCTCTCCTCAGCCGCCTGGCCGCGTGATAGTCGCCGGGTCACAAAGTTTCAAAAATCACTCAGGTTCTGCATTCGGGACATGGGGCTTCTGTGGCTCAGAGATTGCATCCACCCTCAATGCTCCCAGGTTTTGCAGGCGCCGGACAAGTTTAGGTCCAACTCAGCCCTCGGGAGCTGCCGTTTGGAGTGCCGAAACCAGAGTATAAACCGAAGCCCCAACACAGTACCCTGTAACTTTAATGAGCCCATGATTTATCGGTTTTTGTAACTCCGCGAGCTGCATCCATCTCCGTGTTAGGGCCATTCCGGGATCTTCTTCCAAACACCGAGGAGGTGGAGATGTAGGCAAGGAGGAGCCTGAACTTAAAAATTACGGAACGATACTCGCAAGCCCTGCTTGCTCTAGCATTCACAGCTCCTTACAGTTCCTGCCCTGCCCGAAGCTTCGACGCCTGCAACCCTCTAAGCCAAGAACACCTTGCAGGCCACCCCTATGAACCCTAACAGCACCATAGGCCCCTGTTGTAGCCAAACCTACGGGCACCCAAGAACACGTGAATCCTCAGTTTCCTTCTAAGGCCTTCTAAGCCTCTATGATTCCAAAAGAATTTCCAACTTCGATGATGCCCACGTGCGCCGCGCTTGAACCCTCAGCCACCCCCCATAAGCCCGCATGATACCCTCAAAGCCCCGCCCAGCCCGGCATGCACTGCAGTGCCTTGAGTTCTGCACGCTGTTGCGCAGCTTGGGCCTGGTATTATGGGAGCCGGATACACTGAACATGGGTTATGATGGAGAGGACCTTGCCCAGTCAGGTGTATCGGGGTGAGATGGTGGGGTCGGAGAGCCAGGGTTGAGACCTTCAAGGTCGGAGAAACAGTGTGGTGGTGCGATACCCCCAACTGGGGAAGGCATCCTCCACACTAATTTTTACACTGAGACTACAAAAAGTATGGTAAGAGCAAGAACCATGGGCCCGGGTTTTTGAAGGGTTTCGGGTGTCTTATTAGGGTTTCGCGGGATGCAGGGGTTGAGGGCATTAGGTGTTTAGAGTGTGTTGTACCTCGCAAGAACATATACAAATCGAGTTATGTTTTGCCTGGTTTGCAGCATGCTGCAAGCAGCACGGCAAAAACAGGTGGCTATATGCTCTCCCGCGGAGCATGTGGAACGCAGTCTTAAGGCTCAGGTCTCCATCATCAGTTTCTCTACGTTTTGAAGATGGTAGTTCCCTGTGGTGTAAGACTGCTGACCTGCGCTGGTGCATTTCTCCCCACTGACCTATGGCCTGTGCCATGGCCAATGCAACATGACTTGCAAGGAAATCCGTCCTCCCCCCTTGGGCCTGCTTTCGGTGCTCCAGCTCTTCATTCTCTTGCTTCTGGCCTGACAGCAACAACTTCAGGGCCGGTTTCAGGTTCAGGCGGTTCAGGATCTAATGACATATCTTGACTTTCCCAGTTTCGACTATTCCGGGTCACATCGTCCTGATGAAACAACAACCATCTAAAACGGCGTCGCAGACATGGCTGAAAGCCAGGATTGAATCCGACCGTCTTGAGGCTCCAGGATTCAAGACTGCAATCTGAAGCAACCTTCGAATACACACACTGAAGTCGATGCTTTACTCCCCTGAAAGGGTAGTGAGTAGTGCTGCTGGTCTGGGCCACTGGCGCGCAAAGAATGCTTCATCCCGCCGCGGATCATCACCTTGCTTCACATGAGGGCCTCTATGGTAGCGGTGCCCACGACGAACCAAACATGCAAAACACTGCGAAATCAAGCGAAAGTGCTGAGGAGTCAGTAAGACGCCACGTAACATCCTAAAGCGCTAGCCCTGACCCCTCGGAGTGCGGAAAGAGAAGCGACACACTGTGACAACATGTTCCGGTCTTTATGACATGGCTGGAGCCTGACTATGGGTGTCCCGTGCCGTGCCATGGCAACCCATGCTTGCAAAATACCAGAAAACTCACCTTCCCAACAATCGAAGGGCCTGATCTGAGTTGCCTGTCAACAGCACAGTTGGGCTGCGGAGTGACTTCCAAACCAAAGGGGGCATTTAAACACACACGGCCCAGGTCGGTTTAGTATCCTTCCACCCCCTCCACCTCTCCTCCAAAGAGCCCTCGCCGAAATCGCCAAGCTCCTTTACAGCTTCACTGACCCTAAACCCTAAAGAGTGCACCCCAAGGAAGGACCCAAGACCCTCCCAGACCCTGGCTGGACAGCTGCTGCTTCCAAGACTGGAGCTCTTGAACCTTCTGGAGAACCGCCTCGAAGCATCAGTCAGGCTTTGCCGGGGGGACATAGAGAGGGTTCTCTCAAACTATTCAAAGTACTTAGATTATTCTGATTACTCAAACTCATACGAATAGTCAAAATGGGAAACTCGTACAGAATTTTGAAAGATCAGTGTAGAGTTCCCTAAACCCTAAACCCTAAAGTTGTTCAGGGCACTTTAGGAGGCTTAAGGGATTGGGATCCTTTGTTGGGGGATTCGGCGTCGGTTTGCCGGGCCTGGGTGGTTTGCGGCTCCATATTGCATTCGACGCTGACCCCCCTCGATGCTATGCGCAAAATCGTTCATGGTGCGGCACGATCCGGGCACAGCGCGCAATGCCTGAATAATGACGCAGCTTAGATGTACTCAACGTGCACCAGCAAGCCTGCGAGGCCCCATGCATAAGACGCATAATGGCATAATCTTGCTGCGGAAACTACTTCAGAAACGAGCTTGGCACAACAGTGCATGGCATAGTCAGCATGACACAGCGCAAAGGGGCGTGACGTGAGCCCCTAAACTTCAAAGCTTTACAGCCAGCTAGAAGCACCATGAAACCCTCTAAACACCCAAATAAGATCCATGCAAAACGCTACACCGCCCCCGAAAGGCCCTAAGAGAGCGCTGAGTAGTTCGGCCTCGTGCTGGTTGATCTTTGAGTTCGAGAGGCCCTGAGCCTTCAGCTCCGCCTGTGGCTTCAGAGATCAGGGTTTTTGTTTATATTTAATTGTTGTTTTTTGTTGTTTGGGGGGGGGGGGGCGGGTTGGGGTTTAGGGTTTGAACCGCGAATCCTAAACCGATTTAGGGTTGGGGATTTTGGGGTCTGGGGTGTATATGGGTTCAGGGATCAATGTAAACCGGCTTCCGTGCTAAGAAATGCACTGAGAGCGCAATACTGATTTCGCGAGAGGGCTGTGACCACGGTTGGCCGACTTTGCCGGCAAATACGGGCATACGTCATCGATGCAGTGCGATCTGAAGATCTGGCTGTACTTCGTTGTTAGATTCAAGTGGCAAATGGCCAAATCCTGAAAGGGATGTATCATGAGAAGTCTATGCAGCCGCTGCCAGCACCCCGTATGGAACTGGAACTAGAGCCACGCATGGATCTTTTTCCGTGCTGGCGGCTTGCAAGCACCATTTATAAAATGATCAAACTCGCCATCAGTGCGGTGTGGGGTGTGGGGTCTGCCAGCCGAAGATGCCAAGACTCTTTGAGACTTGGTCGACTCCACCTTTCTCGACCCAGGATGGGCTCACCAATACCGACGCATCGCACAATGATGCATTGCTGGAGCAGGCAGCGGAAGTGTTGAAGTACACATTTATGGCGTTCGAAGGATTAGAGAGCAGTGGTAGCTGTAGCTGTGCGCACTGGCACGAAAAGCATCGTTGAAGGGCTGACAGCTCGCCCTACAGAACCTTTGAAAAGAATCCCTATAAAGCCGTAGGCCGTAGGCACCCCAAAATCCATCGGATCCAACTGTGTGCACAGAATCAGCCTTGAGTTGTCGAATATCTGCCGCCAGTCGGTCGACCTCCGACGACAGGAAAGGTGGCCCGGAGGACTGGGGTATATGAACAGGGGGCTCCACATGTTCACGATCTCTTGCTCCGTCATGGCCCAGGAGATGGGTTGGCCCAACGTAAGCGCATGGGCTTCAGGGCTTCAGGGCAAGGTAGGGCCAAGCTTGTTTGGGGTTTAGTGTGGTTCGCGTGCACGGTCTTCGCTTGGGGTTGGAGTTTAGGGGCTGGTGCAGGGCTCGGGCTCGAGTTCAGGGTGCAGCGTACAGGCAGCTTCTGGGCTTGAGGTTCTAGGCGAAATATGGTCCGGGGTCGCGCGCGGATTCCTTCAACTTTTCGCCGATTATTCCGTCAACCACTGCCCGCGGATTCTGTCAACCCGCCAACGCGGATGCCTTCAACCTCAAAACCTGATTCCTTCAACCTCAGAACGCAGATTCACTCAACCACGTCCCCGGGAATGATTCCTTCAATCCAAACGACGCAGATTCACTCAACCACGTCCCCGGGAATGATTCCTTCAACCCAAACAACTGCTTCGTTCAACCTATACAGAAAGAGTCGCTCCAACTACAGACACGCGTGCTACCCGGCTACCCCAACCACGAGGACTTACTCAACCACAAACACGCGGATTCTTGTGCCCCGGGTTTGTTTTTCCTACAAAAACAAACTCTGGGGGGAGGATTTTGTTTTCACTAGGAAAACAAACTCCGAAGGCGGGGTGCAGGGGAGTTTGTTTTTTCCTACAGAAAACAAACTCTGGGGGGAGGGCTTTGTTTTTCCTACAAAAAACAAACTTTGGGGGATGGCTTTGTGTTTCCTACAGAAAACAAACCCTGAACAGGAGGGGTTCGTTTTCACTGGGAAAAACAAACTCCGAAAGGGGGGGGGTCCAGGCGAGCTTGTTTTTTCCGCAAAAAGAAACAAACACTGGGAGGAGGGGTTGGGTTTCGCCGGAAGAAAACAAACGTTTGCGGATCATCTTTGGTTGGGTCACGAAGAGCCAGGTTGGGGAGGAGAGGAAAACAAACCAACTTGAAACTCAGTCTCGACGAGTTTGTTTCAGCGGGTACAAACAAACCCTGACCAGGTGAGTTTGTTTCAGCGGTGGAAAAAAACTCCTATGGGAGAAGTTTGTTTGTTTCAGTGATGCTAGCGGGAGTGGTTTGGGCGGCGCGGGGGTAGAGGAGGATTTGTTTTTCCTACAAAAACAAACTCTGGGGGGAGGGTTTTGTGTTTCCTACAGAAAACAAACTCTGGGGGGAACGGTTTGTTGGTCCAAGGAAAACACACTCCAAACAAACTCCGAGGGAAGATGAAAACACTCGGAAGGTGGAGGTTGTCCTTCCTACAAGGATTAGCCGCACGAAATCGTTTCACGGAGTTACAAGCAAAGAAAAGAAAGTAAATACTGTATAACCAAAAATTAATTGAAAACGTTATCTCCAACACGAAGAATTCAGCCACACGAAATCGCTTCCGGGGGTTAGAAGCGACGAACAAGATTCAACATTGTATAGCAGAACATTTACACAAAAACGTCTTTGCCAACACAGACGAAGAGGCCACATAAAATCGCTTTAGGTGGGCTAAAAGCGAAGAACAAAGTAATAAACAACATTTCATCAATATGAAGGAAGAAGCCACACAAAACCGCTTCAGAAAGGTACAAAGCTAAACAAAGAAGTGGCGCTTGTCTTTTACAAAAGAAGAAGAGCCTCACGAAATCGTTTCAGGAAGTCCGAAGCGAACGTCTTTTCCAACACGATCGAAGAGGCCACACGAAATCGCTTCAGGGGCGTGAAGAGCGAAGAAAAAAACAAATGAGGTACAACCTAAAATTAAACCAAAACATTTCATCAACATGAAGGAAGAAGCCACACGAAATTGCTTTAGAAAGGTAGAGGAAAAGTGAAGCTCGTCTTTCCTACAAGAAGAAGACGAGCCGCACGAAATCGTTTCAGGGGGTTGAAAGCGATTGTCGTTTCCAACACGAACGAAGAGGCTACCCGAAATCGCTGCAGGGGGGTTAAGAGCGAAGAAGAAAGTAAATGAGGTACAACCGAAAACTAAGCACAAACATTTCATCAGCGTCAAGGAAGAAGCCACACGAAATCCCTTTAGGAAGGCAAAAAGAGAAGCAAAGTGGAGCTTGTCTTTCCTACAAGAATAAGACATTGAATAAGAAGGAGAGCTGCACGAACTCGCATCGAGGGGTTAAAAGCGAAGAAAAGAAAGTAAATACTGTATAGCTGAAAAGTACACAAAAACGTCTTTTCCAACACGAACGAAGAGGCTACACGAACTCGCTTCAGGGGGGTCAAGAGCGAAGAAAAAAGTAAATGAAGTACAACGGAGAAGCCGTACGAAATCGCTTTAGAAAGGTAAAAAGCTAAGACAACCAAAATGATATAAAGCGAAAACGACACAAATTTCCAACACAGAAAAAGAAGCCATACGAATTGTGCCTACCCGAGACTCGGAAAGTGTGTTTTTCTGTCTTTAAACAAGACTACGAAAGTTTGTTTTCTGTGTTTAAACTAAATACAACCTATAAAGGGTTTGTTTTCCATGTCTAAACTAACTTGCGCCTACCCGGGACTCCGAAAGTTGGTTTTTCTGTGTTGAAACTAAATAAACCCAATTCAAGGTTTGAATTCAATGTCTAAACTAGCTTGCGCCTACCCGGGACTCCGAAAGTTTGTTTTTCTGTGTTTAAATTGAATAAACCCTACAAAAGGTTTGTTTTCCATGCCAAACCAACCTGCGCCTACCCGGGACTCCGAAAGTTTGTTTTTCTGTGTTGAAACTAAATAACCCCTACAAAAGGTTTGTTTTCCATGTCTAAACTAACTGGTGCCTACCCGGGACGTCGAAAATGTGTTTTTCTGTGTTTAAACTGAATAAACGCCACAAAAGGTTTGTTTTCCATGTCTAAACTAACCTGCGCCTACCCGGGACTCCGAAAGTTTGTTTTTTTGTGTCTAAAGTAAATGAACCCTATAAACGGTTTGTTTTCCATGTCTAAACTAACTGGTGCCTACGCGCGACTCCGAAAATGTGCTTTTCTGTGTTTAAACTAAAAGACTACGAAAGTTTGCTTTTCTATGTTTAAACTAAAAAAACCTACAAATGTTTAAACTGACTTACGTCTGCCCTATTTGTCAATGCGAGACTGGCAAAAGAGCGGGCGAAATGCTTAGATTGCAGTGTAGTGTTGACGGAAGCGGGGGGGGGGCGGAGTTGACGGAATGAGCAGTTGATGGAAGCGGGCCATGGGGGTTGACAGACTCGGGAGTTGAGGGAAGCGGGCGATGGGGGTTGAAGAATCGGCACGATCTGAGTTGAGGGAAGCGGGGAACATGGTTGAAGGAAGCGCGGTTGACGAATCTTGGTTGACGGAACCGCGCGAAGTTGAGGAATAAGGCTTGTACGTATGGTCCGGTGTTCATTTCGCTCCACCGAGCCATCTCTGCAACCTCACACACATTCTGCCAAGTTTCATTCACGCCAGGACTTTGGATTCCGAAGTACGGCTGGCCTGACCTACATAGCCCCGAGCTATGAACAACCCATAAAACGGCTCAACAGCTGCAAACCGATGAACACAATGCACCAACCCCCGCCGAGTCTCCTGGGCTTGTGTGCCATCCGCCGGCGCAGCCATGCTTCAATCCGCGTGTGGGCTTCCAAACAGGCCGTGCCAGGGCGCAAGGGCCCGTAGGGTTTAGGGGGTTCAGGAATTGAAAGTTCAGGGTTTAAGCTTTTTTAACGTTAAAGAATTTGAGAGTTCAGGGTTTAAGGTTTTCAGGAAGCTTAAGAGTTCAGGGCATGGGGGCTTCAGGGTTTAGGGCTGCTTTGGCATGGATTTTGGGGACTTGGCAATCCCGAGCTGCAGGGTGCCAGGGGTGTCCCTTCAAGGTGTCTGCACTCGAAATCGTGGTTTGGCTTTCAGGTGTTCGGGCCGTTTTTGGATTTAGGAGTTTGGAGCCTTTGGGGGTGTCGATGCCATCGTGCTTGGGGCTGCCGGGTGGACGGCAGCTGACTTGAGAGAGCTACTTCTTCGCCGGTTCCCAGCTCGCCTTGAACCAGTCCGGACGTTCACCATACAAGTTTCTGCGCACGAATTACGAATGTCTGCTCTTGGCAGGCTGGCTCGCATCTCAATTCCGCGCCGGACTGCAGAGCTCCAATGAACCGTTATGAGGGATGTAGAAGTCGTTCTTGAGTCCTTCGGATTGCGCAGTGTCGAGCCGCAAAATGCCGCAAACGGCAGGCTCTTTTGCTGTTGTGCAGGTTAGCGCCGATGAGTGCATGCGGCAAGAAAGCATTGACCGAGTTGATCGGCCCTTGATTCCCCCGAGGTTGGCCCCAAAGGCCACACTGAACAAACGCGCTGCATCCTCTCTTTTGAAGCTCTGGCAAATCAGCCGTGCTGAAAATCGCTCGTTTGACCGCGCGCCTGCACACACCGATGCATTTCGGGTCGTCTGCAATCACTCCAAACCTCAGCCCTGCGGTTTGAATCGACTTTCCTCTAGGACGGGTTCAGCGTCGAAAATCATTCATTTGCCTTGAATGTCTGAGTTTGACAGCGTTTCGCAGGTTCGCTCAGGCCCTGTGGAAATTCTGGCAACAAACGCCATGGCAATGATGATCAACATCAACATGGTAAACATCATCATGTCGGCGGTGACGATGATGATGACGATGATGAGATAATCCTCCTGCCGGTGACGATGACCATCATGATGGCAATGACGAGAAGGTGGCGGCAAGAAGACATCCACGACAATGATTGCAGCTGTCGTTACTAGTGTCTCGATGTTCCTGTTTGTCTTGTTGCCACGTAGACTGTCTATGTCCACTATGTATACATGCATATCTCATATATATATATATATATATATGCTCACCCCCCCCCCATGACAGACCGTCGTGGGGACGGGGAAGGGTGGCGTGCGTCCCCAGGCAGGATCTGTCAACGGATAGGCGACAGACACTTCTCCCAAACTCAATTCCAAAATGTTCTTTTAGATGGTTTGCAATTTTTGGAAATTTCTTCACATGCATGCAGCGCTCCTAGTCTCAATCTTAATCTCAATTCTGCTCTTCGTACCACTATTACTGTTTGTAGATCTTAATTCTTGTATCAGTGTTAGCATTAGTATTAGTTTTGTGGTAGTATTGATATTAGGATGTTTAGTATGAGTAATAGTATTCGAATTAGTATTACTCTTAGTATTAGCATTAAGTATGTGGAGAACGGAAACCCAAAGGGGCAGCACGCACCCTCGTTTTCCGTCCAAGCAGAAAGTCCAACGACCGTGACAGGTCGAACGTCCGCCCAGGACGGGCTGCGCGCAATTGCGTCGCGGCAACGAGAAGCTACCAACGACACACTGCCGTGCTCACTTGAGCCAAAAATGTTATGAATACGAATTACAGAAGAGCATGCATAAAAGCATACAGCACAACAGCCAGCCCGCAGACTATGTACAGTTACATTCGCCCCTCAGCCGAGAGCACGATAGAGCCGTAGGATTCCGCGGGCGGCCGGAGGCCGTAAAACTGACCTACAGACCCTGCCCTCCTACAAACCCTTCGCACTCAGCACAAGACCTTCGTTTTTCACGGCCTGTGCTGCACGAGGCTCTGGTTTCCTACTGTACACAGCCTGCGCCGCACTGCGGCCACAGGGCTGGTGAAACGAGCAGCTGAAGCTGCGGCGTTACTCCACGCGCTTCGGGAGCACTACCGTGCCTCCCTAGCCGCTCCCGTCAAAGACCTGTAGAGCGGATACGCCACCCTGTCGTCTCATCGGAAAGCAGCTAGGTGCTGCGACCAAAACTGAAGTTGCCACAGGTGGCTAGAAGGGCGGAGCGCAGTCCGCGACTTCTAGTCCACGGTCACTGCGGCTCCACGTTGGGTTGCGCGGCGGGCTGCTGGACATTTGAGGGTTTTGCCCGCCCGCGGTGGTTCCGCTGAGGTGCTTCGAACTCCTCGAGCTTCAGCGCCTTGGACCACTCGGTGCCAAACGAATCTAGCCACTTTTGGCTAAATTCAGAGGTCAGCACACTGGCGACCGCGATGCCGACCTCCGCGTTGGCCCGTGAACTAGCACTAAAGTTTAGGCTTCCTATCACGGCGCTAACTGTGGAGTCCGGCCTCGTCACGAGCACCGTCTTGGCGTGGTGGATGCCCGCGAGGCCTGCGCCGATGCTCACGTCCGTGCGGTTCTCGGCGGCGTAAGCCGCCTTGACCGAGGTGCCCTTGCCGACACGGACCTGGACGCCAGCCGCCCCTAGCTCCTTGAGGGACTGCAGCTGGAGCTTGGTCCGGCTCGTCTGCGAGTTGTCGGCAAGCACGTGGGCTCGGGCGCCTCGCTCCAGCGAGGACACGAGGGCTCCAACCAAAGGCTTGCTATCGAAGCTGTAGGCTCGCACGTAAACGTGGTCCCCATGCCCAGCGTCCGATAGCATCGTTTGTACCACAGCGTGATACTCCGGAAGGGTCAGAAACTTGACCCCGGCTCGCTCGAAGCCGTCAGGGATCGGGAAGTCTCTGACACGCCGTGCCTGGCTCGACATGGGAGCTGTCGGAGCCGGAGACGCCGCAGAGGTACCCTGGCGGGAAGCCTCCGCTGCAGGCGTCTTCGGAACAGTCTCTGTCGGAGGCGCCGACACTGTGGCCACCTCGTGGCGGCCTCTGAGCTTGGTAAAGCCGTCAAGGCAACCCTCGGACGGGTTCCCGACATTCCGAGCTCTTTCAGAGAGCGATCTCGCTTTCGACACCATGCCGGCAAGGCACCCCTGTTCCAGGGCCGGCGCGCCGAGGATCGCACGGGCGCGTCTAGTCGCGGCCGGGGCGACGGACAGCGTTGGGGCAGCGCTCGCGCCTGTCATGGCCACGAGTTGCCCCGCAGCTTCAACAGCGCGTTCTATGTGACCACAACGTCCCTCGTTGAGGAATGCCTTGCAGTCGCAGCCTGCGCCGTCCGCGCCCGACCCGACCTTCACAAGAACCCTGTGTGCTCCGGCCTTAGTCTTTGATGCAACCTCAAAGACAGCCTCCCGGCCTTCGAGCGACACCAGAACAGCATTCCCAAAGGGGTTACCGTTCATGGCGTGCATTAGCCGGTTAGTGGCGACACGTCCGGCCCACCACAGCACTACGGCCGCGAACGTCCACAGTAGGACGACGGCCGTCAAGCCAACCACGCGGACACCCCGAACGAGGATACCAGAGGATTCCTCGATGAGGTCCTCCGCCGCAGTGGCAACTGCAGTGAGGCTCACGTGTGCCACCTCTCTGGCACCGCGCTCAACAGTGAAGAGGGTAGGCGCCAGCGCAGCGGCCACCAAACCCGTCTTCCATCCAATGTTGCCCGTTGTGGCGTGGGCTGCGCGATTGCGCGCTCTCCTGGAGAGAGCCCAGCTGGAGACCGCAGCGCCTATCGAGCGCACGGCCCCAAGGAACCCACCACGGTTCGAGGGCCCGGAAGAGACAGCGGGGCGAGAAGAAACGGCAGGGGCCTCGGGCGCCACTCTGTGGCCACCCGGGCCACGCAGTGGGAGCGTGAGGGCGGGCTGCCCAGCACGCTCGCCGAGTCGGGAGGAGTATGCCAGTCCGGCAGCACCTCCGGCCCACCATCCTCGGTTGCCGTAGCGGTTCGAGCTTCCCCTTCCACCACCTTTGCCACCACCCTTGCTGCCAGAGCTGCGGCCCCCACTGGGTGCACCGCGCCCGGAGGAAGGTTGGCTCCACCAGGCTCGGGCAGAGTCTTGAGAGAGCTCTGCCTGCCTGCGCTTTTCAGCGCGGAGCCTCTTCCGTCCGGAGCGGAGGAATTTCCTCGCATGCTCCGCAAGGGGATCGGCGTTGATGGAACGCTCGATCCGTTCCATCTTCGTGCCCTCGCTCTCTTCCGACGAAGAAGCAGCTTCATCGTCGCCTTCCTGGGGCGGCATGCCGTGGGTTATGAACGACGCGCCCGACTTAGGGCCACTGCACTTAAAGCACAGTTTGCGCCATAACATGTTCCTCTCTTGGCATGTGTCCCGCCCACAGGTCCAGTAGGCGTTGGACATTGCGGCGGCGATCGCGTCCGAACGCTTCGCATAAAGGTACTCCTTTATGCGTTCCTTATGTTCATCGAGCCAGACCTCGATGAACCACGCCGGCGCCGTTCGCAGGTCCACCGGCGTGCTCCAGTACAGGCTGTCCTCGAAGATCCCCACACAGGGGGCACCTCCGAGCTCCTCGGAATCATGGTGCCGGCAGGTATTGCGTTCTGGTGGGTTCGCACGCCCACAAGTAAAGCAATCCCACCAGCCCCAAGGCCAGACCTTGCCTGTGAGGAGCGGAACGCGCTCGGGTGTCGGTCCAAGCTCGTTTTCATCGTAATCGGGCCAGATTTCAAACACTGGCCTGTTCGACAAAATCGCAGCCTGGTAGACGAACGCGCGCCTCCGGCGCCGCGCCAACGCGAGGAGCTGCTCGAGCGTATGCTCACCACCGCCTCGGAAGAATTCCCTGATCTGTTCATCATGTTGGAGATCAAGGGGGACCGTGAGCCTGGGATCCACGTCGCGGGCGCCGGGCCTTCCAGGCCCCGGCGGTGGAGTCGCATCCCAGTCCACGTCGCGCCAATCGGCCCCGGGAACCTCG